AGCTATTTTCTGACAGTGTCTACTGTCTGGGTTGTCGCAACAGATGTGGGCCGAGTGGAATGGTCAGAATAATTGGAGTGACAGTGGCTAACTAATTGGTGACCTGGGTGAAAGTTGGAGATAAGTGGCACTGGCAGGTGAGAAGCAGCTCTCTCTGAGGAAAACCAGGTCTACGGGACGACTTGCTTGGAGAACCATTAGTGTTGTGACCCGGGGCTGCGGCTGTTTGTCAGAGATGAGCTCGACAGTAATGAAAACTGATGACCTGCTTTGTGCATGTCAAGGCCAAAGGTGCTTCTGCAGTTTAAGTAGTTTTTTTAGGGGGGGTTAAGGGTCATTCTAGGCTTAATGCTTTAGAAAACAGTTACTTTACCTGAGCTTAGCAGCCTTTTCATAAAGATTGCTTGTTTGCATGATTGATTGGTTTGAGTCAAAACATTTAGAAGTTCAGCTTGGAGGCCGCAATAAATTTATAAATTATTGTCAAGTTCAATCTGATAATTGAAGTTAGATTAACCCGATAAAAACCAGCTCTTTGTTCTACGCTTGCTGAAGACGTCGACTCTGTCACTAAAACTTGGCCGTAACATATAATGGGCCAGTTCGATACTATGAAGGTTACCGCTGATTGCCTGTACTGTAATCAATCGCACCTCGCAGCACAGAGAGAAGTGCCGAGCCGAACAAGATAAATGTTAACGTTAATCGAATATTTAGAAGCGTGGCCAACACGGAGTGAACGGCCATTGCAGCAGAGGACAGTTCTTAAACGCCTCCAAAAAATCAACGGTGCCACTCAGATGAAATTCTACTGGAGAAATCCACTTCAATGGAGGAAAGTCCTGATGGAGCACTGAAAGGAGATGAGAATCGGGCAGAATTGTGCAGGAAGGTAATTAGACCAAACTAATCTGGGTGAAACAGCATCACAAAATCACCATCTTCACATATTGAGATTTGAGTGACAGATGTTTTCTCAAAATGCCAGCATACATTGCAGCTTATGAATCCTTTATCTATCTATTGAACTAAACACTTTTAGTTCTACCCGCTGTGCTGAAAGCCCACATCTTTCAGTGAGGTTGAAACTACACCACTTGACTTTTTAAAAGCCATCTTCAGCTGAAACAATTTGTTGTCTTTGCTTCTACCAGTCTAGCCACAGAATTGCACTTAATTGTGCCTCCGTCTGAAGAAGCTTGTAACATTTATCCCTTCTTGAGTTGCGCTGTCAGGTAATTTCAGTAAGCAGACTGTCTGACTTTGTATGGAGGCAAGGCAATACCAATATGTCTGAGGTATATGGCCTTTTTAATTATTACCCTGGGAATAAAGCTCAAACTCTCAGCAGGTCACTGTTAAAGAATGTTAATTAGCTCAACAATGAAACTTGAGTTTCCCTTTGTTCTCTCCTGAACTTGGATGTTTGGGAGAGTCAAAGCATCTGCATTTAAGTAGAAATCAATCTCTTTTTGGACAGACTGGTGCACTGACTGCACACAGTTCACGGCGAAGACGTTTACACTGAGTGCTTCCTTGTTGTAAACCCACTGAAATTCAACTCTTCATTGTAAAATGTTTAGAGGTCTGAGCTGAAATGCTGACATTGTACACAGCTGATTAGTAATTACATTGTATGTAATACTGTCAAATCTTTTATAGCCAATACAATTAATGTGTGTCGCACAATTGCTTGTTGCATGCTAGTTCAGGATCATCTGTGGTCTGATGTCGGACAAGTGAGGAAAAAAATGTGTTTATTGTACATCTATGCCTTCTTTTCTTATGGAGCTCTCTGTTATTCTCAGATTTGTGCATTATTTTTTTGCTTTAAAAAATGCTTAAGGTCTTCCATAAACTCATGCAACAAGATACAAATTTGCATTGTAGGATAACTAATATAAACCTGAAGTACTTTTTGCTTCTTTTGGCCTAAATTTGGTTTTGACCATCAGCTTCCTTAATGATTCAATTTCAGTTGTTCATGTAATATCAACCAATCCCAGACAAAACCTGAATATTTGATTTTTAAACTGTCTCACTGTGATCGTCTTGTGGCATGCTGATGAAATAATTTACACAGCAACAGGAGGCTAAAACTGCTGCTCAGGTTGGTTGGTCGGTTTTTATATGAAGCTTTGGACACGTGCAGGTGAGACATCTATATCATGGACCTCTGTCAACTCTTGCAGTTGAAGTTTATGATACTTTAATTATTTTTAGATGAAATACTAATTATACGTCCATACTTAATGCATCTATTTGATTTGAATCAGAGCCCATAGTGTGAAATCATCTCTCTGTGCTCAGTGCACAAGGTCAGTGTCCTCAAGGTGTAAGTAGCAGATTCAACTCAAGGCGATTTGGCTAATCTGCACTGATTCAAATACTGTTATACTTGGGACCATACAATATGCTCATCTCCTCTTTTTTCTTTCTGTACTGTTACTGGTAGTCCTCTGTGTCTTCGTAATCCCCTTGATGTCTGTATTGATGATTTCGTTAAAGAGGTTTAGTGTCGTAGATTTGACACTAATGAGTTTCTTCCAGGAAAACACAAAGCTCCGTTCTGAGCCAGCAGACAGGCCCGTGTGCAGGGGCACAGACGGGCTCGGCCGTAGCTGGGATGTTGAGACTGGTATGGGGCTGGGCCTCTCAGCGGCAAGAGCTGCGCATCGTCGTGCCAGAAAGTCACGCTCTGCCTCATGTACCCATTGAGGGCACTGCTTGAATAGTCGTAGAGCACTAAATGGATTGCCTCCCCACCATTTCCATATTTTTTTCCCCCCCCGTCTTTCAAACAGATGGACACAATCTCTCTTTGTGTAAGACTATGGAAAAACTGAGTTTGGCGAGTACAATCGAAGTCTTCACCATCTCCGAGGACGAAGTTGAGGAGGTTGATGAACTCGAATGGCTCTGAAGCATTGAAACGCTTCCTTAGAGTCAGTCACTTACTGCACAAAATCAGTTGCTTAACACTAAATTGTTATCGTTTACTGAAAGAAATCTCCACTAGAGACTGGCATTTTTCACCCTCTTTGCTCGCAAAATATCTCAAGCTTAGTCACAACTGTGAAAATTAGTTTTCAATTGATTCTCAATTGGATTTAGGTCGGTACTTTGGGCTATTTTAATACATGACCAATCTGGAGGTGTCAAGCTGTATTCTGTCAGTACAACAACATTAGCAGTTCTACGAGTCCTGCTCATCACCTGATTATTTGAATGGCGTGAAATGAAAAGGAGAGAGACCTAAAAGTTTCAGGACACCAGTACTGGCTTTAAATGAGATCTCACTCTTCTTTCGAATGACCTGTCAGTAATGTTCTCCAGCATCCCTCTGATGTATTCACTGGACAGATGGGCTTATGATATTTTTTCTGAGATTAAATAATCACTAATGGACTACTACTGTTTAGTCATGAAGTGGCTTAAGGGTGTCAGAGTAAAGAGGGGCTTAAATGGGTGACACTCTTCCGATTCTTGTTTGTTAAATAATGTTTTTAAGGTAAAATGTGTAAAAATTCAATGTGTATGGATACCTTTAGGTGCAACTAAATAAGGTAAAATTGTGCCTTCATCTGTTCCAGCTCTGAATTATGTTGAAATCTGACAACCTTTAATTGTTTGACAGACCCTCATGTTGCATTTCCTGTATGGAAATTAGATTAGTCTCCCTTGAGCTTAGAGATAGCTGGATGTCTTGTAACATCGTGTGATGATTCACTGCAAAACTAAATAGTTTTTATGGATCTGTTTACTTGTTTTACCTCAAAAATGCAGTTTTGAGCTAACAACTTATATCACCTGCAGTCGTTTGTCTTTTGGAGTCGGCTTATCTGTTTTTTTAATGCTGCTTTTGGCTCTTTAGAAGTATCTTACTAAGCTCTTTCGGTCTCATGAATGTGTAATTAAATCCGCTCGAAACTTTCCAAGTTTTCCTCTTCCTTCCTTCCTTCCAATGAAAAAAACAACAAAAAAACCTGCCTACGCTTTTAGTCTACCCCTGTCTCCCTCTTTTAACTTCACCCTGTCACGGTGAAGGAATCTCCTGCTCAGAGCCAGCTCAACACGTGCAGTTCAGCTGAAAGAAGCGAGCCTGCTGAATATGCACGGTATTCGGCTGTCATTCTGGTTGGGAGACTGCGGCTGAAGGCATTCATCTCAGTGCTTGCAAATGAAATTGTTGCTGTCTGGGACTAAATACATTTGATTTATTCCTCTCAGCGCAATCTTTCTTTTTACGCCACCATTTCACAGAAACGACTGACCAGGCTCATAGTAAGGTTAAGCAGTGACTGCAGTCTTCTTGTAAAACTGCTGCACATTCGTATAACACAATAACTATATGACTATAAACTTTTATTCCACCTCTAATTTTCAGCTTTGAGATGCTTAATGTTTTTTTTTTTTTTGCATGTGCAGTCAGTCTTAAATCAATGCCTGAGCTTTGACTCTGCCCAGGATGTTTTGGGTTGGGCCATTATTATGTTTTATGGTCTAGTTCTGCTTTAAATGTTTTTTGTTTTGTTTGTTTTTTGCAGATGCTCTCAGATTTTTGCCAAAAATCCTCTCCAACATAATTGATGATGGATTCTGTGATGGCACCATCACAGGTTTAAACAATCCAAACTCCTTCAGCAAGCTGAATAATAATCAACTTATTCAATATGACGTTGTTTGATATTGGCCATTTTAAATGGGAACAAATTTGAGGATAACCATTTATTATTATTATTATTTTATTATTTAATTTTTTATTTATTTATTTTTTTTTACCAAAAATCATTCACTTTAACCACATTTTTACAGAAAATGTCTTGCACAAATATTCTTCACATTAATGTATTGTATGTTTAGATGCCACGCAAGTAAATTTTGAAAAATATGTTTCACTTTGAAACCATTCGTATCAGTCGTATTATACAAGAGTTGATTTTCCTGATCATCTTGATTGATATTTAGATTTTTTTCTCTCTCTTTTTTCGTTAAAACAGGAAACTCCAAGAGGTCGGCCTCTTTTGAGCGCAGAGGGAATATGGCTGAGGAGCTGGATTCTCTTACAGCCACAATCAACCAGCGTCACATTGATGAAAACGGCAGCAGGCGAGATGGCACGACCACCCCGCGGCGGCGCAAGCGCTTCCTCTCCTACCCCCGCTACGTTGAGCTGATGGTGACGGCAGACGCCAAAATGGCCCGTCACCACGGACACAACCTGGAGCACTACATCTTAACAATCATGTCAGTAGTAAGTAAAATAATGCTTCTAAAACTATCTTTTTATTTTTGTTTGGATTTCCTCCACCCCCCATTTGCATAATTTAACATCTTGAAGTCAATTTTTTCTCTATATCCTTGTTACTGTTTTATACTCTTGTTACCCACAGATACTTTTCTAATCCAGTTTTGAGCATCTTCATCAAAGTTTTGAGAATCAGATTCTGTACACAGAACAAGAGCGTTACAGTATGTAATGTAAACACAAACTGCATCTCATTGTTTTTTTTCTGTTTGCTGCAATCTGTTAAGTGATTGCTTATTGCTAAAAGCAGTTCAAAATTGTGCTGAACTTAATCTTCTGTGTTGCGAATCTATTCAGTTGGTTCTTGCTAAAAAGCAAAACATTTTGATTTCCATATACCCAGACTGCGCAGTGAGCAGTGCAACAGCTGTGGCATAAATGGTCGAGCCACCAAAACAACCTACCAAACCCATCCAGAAAAATCCAAGCACATGGCAAAGTGCGCCAAAGAAAAGATAAAAGCACAGAGACATCCAGACCAAAATAATAAAAAAACTTCTCCATAACTAAATACTATTTGAAAGGGGTAAAAACATAAACAGATTTTTTATTTTTGTATTTACACTTGGTGTTCAAAGCCTCAGTTTACAGTTAGAAATCTCGGTTGTGGCGGCTTCGGCTTAATGCAACCAAAGCCACAGTGGGGGGCTAACTGGGCCGACTCCGACTCAGCCGCTGGACCTTCTATGAGTCCCGAAGCCGTCTAACAACTAATCTACTCACAGAATTATTAAGCGTCTCAGTCAAACGGTGTGAAACGGGATAGGTAGATGGATTGGACTGAATGTCCCTTCTGCCACCTCTGCCCACTTTCATTAACAGTGGATTTAAAGAACTTATTAACCTATGCGAGAGCAATGATTGTCAATGTTGTGTTGCTGTTAAACAGAATACGGTCAGGGATAAATGCAGATGTGCTAATTTTTTGTTGCACAGGTCTAAGTCAGTCTGAGAGTCCCATGAAGTGAAAACTTAAAATAAATATATATACATTTTGCTTTTATTTGAGCAGAAATAGTTTTGTTATTTTAAACATAACGTGTCTATTGATTTTGATATTGACTTTGTCCGGAGTCAAAGCCTGGAATCACACGTGGGTATTTGGACTCCACATACCTTTGACCAAAATGCGTCAAAAAGAGCATCATTCATAAATGTAGAGGCAAAAAAGGTTATAGTTTTAAATTTCAGTGGGTTTTTGCATATTTCTAGCAAAAAAATGCTTGAAAAATGCATTTTTTTTTTACAGTTTGATTTTTTGGTTTCAAACGAACTCAATCTTTGTCCCTTCACATTTATCTGCTGCTTTTTTTTTTCTTAGTCAATTTCCATCTGTGTTTAGTTACTGTCTTATCAAAGATCCTACAGGCTGCAGTGCCTTCACATAACAACATGCACTGGAGCGAGAGGAAATGGATCAACATCTCATATGTCACTCTTAAAGTAAGAGCTTGCAAAGACAAGCTCCCAGTGTGTAGGCCGAGGCCGCGTTTGCCTCCCCTCAGGCTAAGACAAGCTAAATGTTTATGGTTGACTAATGAGTTCCTGTCATGCGGCCGGACACAGCCTCAGGAGACGGCTGGCCAACCGTGACAGGGGTGCTCAAGAACAGCAGGAGAGGGACAAGATATCTTCCCTGTTAATCTTAAGCAATGAGGCATTTTTGCCATTAACCAAATCAAACCAAAAGAATAGTTGGCAAAAAAAAAAACCCTCAAAAGTCGTTTGTCCTCCCCTCATTCTAAACATGGCACCCTGTGTTCTGGGGCAGGTTAGTGGAGATTTTGTCCACATTTTTCTTTTTTGTCTGTGTGTTTCGTCTCTGTTACAGGTAGCAGCAGTGTACAGGGACCCCAGTGTAGGGAACCTCATTAACATCATGGTCGTCAAGCTAGTCATCATCCACAATGAGCAGGTGAGTACAACTAGCTCTCAATGCTCCCTATATAAGGGAGCATTGAGGTATATGGCTGACATCATCGCAGGTGTTTGTGGACTCTGCCTTCCATGTCATTCTCAAATCTCACGAGAGGTCTCCTGGGAGAACAGGTGACTCTGTGGGGAAGCACCTGCAGGAGACGCATTCTGGACTTTTATCAATTTGGAAACATAATAGAGAGGCAGCATTCAACTTCTATGCACCACAAATCGGGAACAAGCTTCCAGAAAACTGCAAACCTGCTGAAACACAGAGATCCTTTAAATCTAGACTAAAAACTCAGCTGTTTGTTTAAGTTGCCTTTGAAACTTAAACAATTACAAATTTCATGATGGCACTTGACTTATTGTCATGTTTCGATTGTTGATTCTATGTTGCATGACTTTGTGTTTATTGTGTTTTTATGATGTGAAGCACTTTGAAACGCCTTGTTGCTGAGACATGCTGTCCAAATAGAACTGGATTGGCGAAAGAGAGCTGTCGACTTCAGATAATATAGGAGCTACTTCCAGTCTCTTAGCAGACGCACGCATAAAACAATCTGATTCCATCTCTTTGAGTAACTAAATCTGGCATTTTTGCTGCATGTATTGACCCCTGCTCCACTAAAACAGGAAGGACCCACAGTGAGCTTCAACGCTGCCACCACTCTCCACAACTTCTGCGTCTGGCAGCAGAGCCAGAACGTCCAGGACGACAGCCATCCTTCTCACCACGACACTGCGCTTCTCATCACCCGGTACGTTTTGAGCGACGTCCTTTAAAACAATGCCAACTTCCTCAAGCGAGTGGACGCGTGAGAAGATTATTTTTCCTCTCTCTCCAGGGAAGACATCTGCCGTGCAAAAGATAAATGCGACACTTTAGGTAAACTTCACCTTTTTATCTTCATCTTTAGGTTCCTTTCTATGAAATTTTCCACCTCACGTCCGAACACTCAAAACTATCCCGTGGCTCTTGGTCAGCTCATAATAAGATTTTTTTTTTTTTTTTGTGAGTCGGGTTGTTTTTAACAGGTAAGCATTTTCCTTCAAATAGTTGCAATTTTGTGAGTTTCTGTATGTGTGCGTGTGTGTCTTTGTGTGTAGGACTTGCAGAGCTCGGCACCATGTGCGATCCGTTCCGCAGCTGCTCCATCAGTGAAGAAAACGGAATTAGTGCCTCTTTCACCATCGCTCATGAGCTGGGCCATGTGTAAGTTGCAGCTTAGAGCCTGAAGCAACCGCTTTCACCTCTATCCACACACGCGCAGTGCACGCGTGCACGCTCCGTCTCACCACTCGCAGACTACCTTGACAACAAAAGCTCCCTTATAAAGAGATGCAGGGTGCAGCAGCCACAGGTGCAAAACATAATAAAGTAAAAAAAAAAAAGTCTCCTAATAAGACGTGGGCCTGTAATACCTTATAATACAGATCAAGTCAGTCCTGGGGGCTTTACCTTGACCATGGCAAGGTTAGATGGATTTTAGTGTGGATATGATTGAAAAACTCCCTGTAGTGCCTTGCAAGAATATTCACATTTTGTCACAATGCGACAAACTACAGTGTGCTTTAAGCAAAAGACTGGCACAAATGATCACACAATTGCAGTGAAAGGAAAGCAAATTGTCCGTAAGACCTTTCCTTTTACAAGAAAAACTTTAATCTAAAGGGCATGCATTTGTGTTCAGCCCCTTTTACTTTGATACCACCTAAATAAAATACAGTTTTAGCTATATTCCCCCTATATTTTTACCGATGTGGACTTCTTTAATGATTTGTAAACGCATTTGGTTACATTCCTTTTTAAAAATTTTCTATTTATCTTTATGTACTGCAAAAACAAAAAAGGGTAAAAAAAAAAATCTTACAAGATATTTTTTGGTGTAGTTTATTTTCCAAATATTTTAATGCATTTGAAATAAGCAAAACTAAGTTACAGGTGACTTTTTAGCAACATGTAGGAGCTTGCTTTAAGTGAAATTTTGATATCTGGTTCACTGGGACATTATTTCCCTTAATACTTGTGCTTTTCTTCCCATAAATATTAAGGAATTATTGACTTAAAACAAGCTGGGTGCTTATGAGTTAGTTTTGTCTTACTTCAAGACATTTGCACTAATAACTAGTCTTAAAATACTTGGCAAGATTTTATGCTTTTGCATTGAAAATCCATCTAACCAGCTGCTATAGCGCTGTAATGTTTCCCCTGTTTTCTGCCGAGTAGAAGCGCCAACGGTTGCTGCAGACAAAGGGGAAGCACAAGGCTGTGTATTGGGTTCTCACTCACAAGCCGTCCTCTGAGGTATAGAGGCCGTCCAAAGACACACAAAACAACATGTGGACGTCGCCGCGCCGTCATTTGCGAGTCGCCTAACGCCTGGTATCACGATGTGCGCGTCTGGCAGAGATGCTGTTTCCATAACAAGCAAACACTGACACATGTGTCATGTTAGAAAACGACCTGTATGAATTATCCATCTCAAAATGGCCGAGTCAAAACACACAACCTTATCTCCAGTGTGGACTGCTGTTTATTTCAAGCATTCCTCTGAGGCCGCGGATCACGGTACAAAAAAAAAAAAAAAATCACGTTTTGCCTCTGCAATCTTGCGGTTCTGGTTTCAGGTGATCTTAATAAGGTGCAATTTGAGAAGCGTTATTTTCTACTTCTTCCTTAGATGAGGAGCTTAATTCATAGGTGATTTTCCGTCCCTGCGAAGCTCGCCCTTTTGCCAAGTTTTTTCCTTTCTTTTTTTCTCCTTTTGTCTCTTCCTGCCCACCTACTTTGCAGAGTGTAATCAGAAAAATAAAGGAGAGATTTTCTTTCTTGTCTGGCTCCAGATAGTGAAAAGGACCAGTGTCAGTGTGAGAATGGCAGATATTCTTCTCTACCTCCTCTGTCACGCTCACACATTCTTCCAGTGGAGCGATTGAGCCAGAGTAACAGCAGATGGAAGGGTCTCGCTCTCTCCACTTTTTTTTTTTTCGCTCCCTACTCATGTGGATCTGTTTATGCTAAAGTTCAAGCAGCTGGAGGCCCAGTTGGCTCAGACGCTCGCTGAGAGTTGATGGTGGTATGAGCCCTCCGGTGCGTTCAGCGCACTGGGAAAACCAGCGTGGGGTGGAGGGAGTCGCCTGAGAGCGCTGCGGATTAGAGTAAGACTCAGCCTAATGGATGGGATCACTAATAGCCAGCGTGGGGATTTTACTGCCGTCACTTGATAGGTATTTAAAAAGTGATGTAGGTAATCACTTTAATCACAAATCAAAAAAAAAAATCAAAAAAAAAAAAAAAAAAAAAAAAAAAAAAATATATATATATATATATATATATATATATATATATATATATATATATATATATGACTGGACCATTCTAATGTATGAATATGTGTTAAATCAAACTATTCCATCATAGCTATAGCGTCATTGGCACCTTATGGATTGCCTATAAAGGGGGCTGCATGCTAGACTTGATGCAATACGTTTGTTCACTGCACAGTTATGCAGATCCATATGACCATTTGTCATGTGTAACTTAAATGACATACGTTACATTTAGTGGTTGTGCTGTGAAAAAGCTATGTTTTCAGGACTCACACCGCCATCAACAACGCACACACCGTGTAGCGATCCCTCGTTTCACGGGTCCATGACTCGGCTGAGCTTTTGCTCGAAGTCATTTAATTAGAGAAACGTGTTTTCTCTCATCCAGAGCATCCATCTAACAAAACCCCATTATGCGATTTAGAATAACGGGTTTAATTTGTGAAGAGCTCTGAATTAAATTGTGACTTTGCAGATGCTGTAAACAGAATTTTGTCCTTTATTGATATTGCAGTAAAACTGTGCGATTTACGATCGGATTAGACTAAAAGCCTGCCATGTCACGGTTTTCAGCTAATGTAGTCATTTTACGAGTCAGACGAGTCACCTAAACCCTCTTAAGTCACTTCATCACTTTTTATGAAAAGGAGGAAATTTGACTGAAGATTAGCAACACATAGTACAAAAGTATTGAAACACAAAGTAGTGTTTTTTTTCTTTTATTACGAGAATAAAGTCATGTAACAAGAGCTAAAGTCGTACAACAATAAAGTTGAAATAATACGAAAACAAAGTCATATTAGCAGAACACAGTCGTAATAACACATGAAGTTGCATTACATCAAAGTCAAAATAATGTGAGAATAAAGTTTTATGAGAATTCCTATATGGAATATAATAAAAGAGTAAAATGAGGAATGCAGAGCATCTTGTGAAGTTCTACTTTTGTACAAGTTTTACAAATAAGGAAATATGTAATCTTTTAACACATCGACATAAAATTATTATCATTGCCAGTAGCAGGACTTTGAAATGATCGTTCAAACGACCGAGTCTATTTCAAAGACATCAGATCACAACAAATCTATCAAAGCTTCCTTGTCATTATTGCTTTTTTCTCATGATTTTAAGATTTTCTTCTGGTAAAATTGCATCTTTATTCTGCTAATTTTATGACTATATTCTCAAAATAATAATACAAAAAACCCCGTAATTCTTATAGCTTGACCCTGATACTTTGTCGCACATCTCACAAAACGGATGATTGAAATAAAAGCCACTTTTTGAAGATATTGTTGTGTGCCTTCTAAGAAAAAAAAAGAGAGAGAACAAAACATGATCAAACCCTGGAATCGGATCTGGTTAGCAAAATTCAGAGATTTAATTATTAATCCACATCACCCAGCCCTAGAATAGATAAATCAAAATGTATCTATGTCTTCAAAAGTTCCAGCTGGTTATAACATGACACGATATGATAAAAGAATTTGGAAACTTCATTTTTTATCCTCTTTTTATTGATACTAGGAAATATTCATCGTCTTTAATCGCTGGAGTTTACCTGCTGGTCCCGTTCGGGGCAGGTTTGATTTTGTTAGTGTTATCCAGCAGCAGCCTCGTTTTCGTGCGCAGAGCTGACTGTGCCAGAGGCTTAATAGTTTCTTGGGCGTTTGCCCTCAGGCCTTCGGCCCCTGCAGGGTGGGCCTCATGCCAGTCGAGCTGGATCTTGTTTTTGTGGCCCTGTGGACCGACCCTCAGCAACAGAACCAGAGTCCGTACTGTACGTCTCGCTGGCCCACATCCTGTTATAAACATGTGAGACATCATACAGCTGCGTGGATTCCTGTGTGTATAAATATAAGTGGGTCACTCTTTCTGAGTGCTCATGGGTTGTGGGGAAAACTGCAGCATAAAACAGGTCTTCAGTCTGCAGTGTATCGGTGTGATCCTACCTCTTCCCTGCTTTAAGCCCTTTGAGAATGTGAGGTGGTGAGCTTTGGCCTCCGAGGGGTGAGCTGGAGGTGGTTCTCACCAGCGTAGTGACGTTAATCGATGCTGATCGATGCAAAGTGACAGTTTGCATTAAAAGTAGCTCCCCCTACTGGTCAGTTAAAGTTGCATTAAAAGGCAGGAAGTAAAGAAGTTTTAAATGTTTAGCAATGTCTCAAGTAAAGAAGATTTATTTGTGGGGGGGAAAAAAAACAAAACAAAACAAGAGAAAGGTGCGTGGCAACAGCATCTCACCTGATAAATGGATTGCTCTAGTTTCAACAAGACCTTTAAGACGTGTGTCTAATCCCTCCTTTTACAACTCTCTGCTTCAGGTTCAACATGCCTCATGACGACAATCCCAAGTGCAGAGAGGCGGGCATGAAGCACCAGTATCACGTCATGGCTCCCACCCTCAACTATGACACCAACCCCTGGTCGTGGTCCAAGTGCAGTCGCAAATACATCACCGAGTTTCTAGAGTAGGTGCATTTGGCTTCTCTGTCTTTTTCCTCTCACTTATTTTATCTGGATCTTATAGATTACGTTTGTCAATCTCACGGTCAGGGGCCCAGTCTGGGCCGCTATGGCTTTTTTTTTTGTGGCCCTTTAGACAATGAAGGGACACGTAACAAGATGATATTATTCTAACAAAGCTGTTTCCGTCTGTATACTGCCAAACTACAGCAATCACAGCAAACATGTTCAAACTGATTGAATATTTAAGAAGTGCTGATCAAATGCAGACAGCAATATGCTCATATTGTAACAGTTTTGTTCATGGGGTTTTTTCAATACACTGTGCCACAAGAGTTTTCTATACCAACTCTAAAACTGTAATGTGTGTTTGCATTATGCTCTCTTTTTATTGCTCTGATGGGAACCCCTAGAAACCCCCCCACTACAGCCAAGTTCCTTCAGAAATCACCTAATTATTAAAAAAAAGCCCATCTGTGTTTGATTTAAACAGCTTATATACAGCTGTTCAGAGATTTGTTTGAGGTCTGGAGTGAACAAACTGCATCCCGAAGAACAACGAGCCCAGCAGACATGGGCAGAGATAAAGTGGAGAAGTTTAAAGCGAAACTCGGTTATAAAACATCAAAAGCCTTGGAATCCTCACAAAGCTCTGAAGAAAGTCGCTGTTTGAAGAAAGGCTTAAGACTCTCCGTGTAAACTTTCCCAGAAGTCACAGGGGCGACACGGAGAAACCTGGTGAAACATGGCGGTGGGAGCATCATGCTGCCGGGAGACTTTCTTTTAACACTAGCTGTGGAAAAATTCTATATTAATTAACTAGGGGTTGCTGCGTAAAATCTTAATGACACACACTGACAATTATGGTGGTAAGATGAAAAAAAATAAAACAGGACAACGTTCAGGGGTATGAAATCTTTTTCAAAGCGCTGGTTTTCTCAGGAAGTAGAAAGAGCGCATTCTTCACTCTTTTGGCAGCAGCTTCTTTCGTGACGTAGCCCACAACACAAATAGGTCCTATGTCTCCGTCAGAACTTTAAAGACAGGTCGGCGCAATATAAACCATGCGGAGTTGTTATTGCCTGGTGTTGAAAGAGTATTTCCTGTTTGAATCTGGGGTGGTGGTGGTGAGGGGGTCAGGGGAGGAGTTCTGCCTCAGCTGACCTGAAACATAAATCTACTCCTTCAGAAATCTCTTCACTCGGACGAGACGTCAGGCTCTCGCTAGCCTCCCGCTCGGGAACTCCTCGCCCGCATTGTGGTCAGCGATCCCGTTAAAAGGACATCTCTTTCAAATGGGAAATGCCAGTTGTTGTAAGATCCTCCCTCAACATGACCCTTTCATCCATCCTCCCATACTTTTCCACTGGTAATTGCGGGGGCCCGTTCTCACAAAGAACAGTCTTTTTTTTTTGGTTGAACAGATGCATCTTCAGTGCACAGACCAGACGAGTTCGGCGCTGCCTCACTTCTCTTTGCATAGTTTCCAGTGAGCGATGACCTTAGCATTGAGCCAAAAAAAAAAATGAAGGAGAATCCCTTTCAATGTCTTTTTTTTTCATTTCTGGTGCTTTATAAAAGTGTTTCAGGAAAAGAAACAGTTTCCAGGATCATAACATGCAGTGCACCAAGAAGATATTCACAGCACTTCACGTTTTCCACATTTTGTTATATTAGAACCTTATTCCAAAAGGTTCTTGAGATTTTCTTTTTTTTTTTTTTGCAAATTTATTGAAAATACAGAACCAAGAAATCACATTTATGTGACTACACTACAAAATGCGAAAACCACTGTGAATAGTTTCCAGACGCACTGCATTCAATAAACTTTAGCATTACTGAAAATTCAAGTATTTCAGTACCACAATTCACGACAAATTAGACACATATTGGTGTTTTGAAACGTTTGTTGTTGTTGTTTATGATAGTTTTGCACATCCAGGAAGACTTAAGATTACAATATTACATCAGACCAGTAAGAAAAACACCAAAAAGTGTATTTAACACCCGATTAAATGTTATTTTCAAAAGACACTTTTAATATTACAGGGACGCCTCATGAAGCGCAAATTCTAACTATTCACATTTTTTTGATGTAGCAGAACAGTGTAAAATGTAGGTATAAATAGAGAAAAGCAGCTTTGTACGGTGGGAAAAGTCTGCTGGGTTTTTCTCAACCCTACAATAAGGGAACATGGATTCCACCCATCATTTCTACAGTACCACTTCTGCTCAGTGGGCTGACCTGGTTAAGTACATGAGTGTTTTGGCAATAAAGAGCCAATTCAACTCTGGTCTTCTCTACCAATTCAACATTTTCTCCTCACAGGCCAAAGGATTCCTCTTCTCCGTCTCTTTGTCTTGCTCCTGCTGTAATCACGTGTGACAAGTTCTCACACCTGGAAGTTGATGAAAAGTGTCCTGTTGTATCTCAGCTTTGCTGTGTGGCCACATCAAAAATAATGAAGCTATTTATTACTTCTCTGGCTCTGCGTTTGTCGATTTAAAGCAAAAATCTCAGACTGTTGCCCGCCTAGCTACTGCAGACAGCTAATTTTCAAAACATTTGGTCAGTGCTGGTCATCTACCAATTTTTATTTATTTATTTTTGTTTTGTTTTTACTTGTACGGACGATCTGCTGCCGTTTAGCTTCATGTGACATACTGTTCCATTCTCTATGCAATTTTGTAAATGAACTAAGCCTAAAAAGAAAAAAAAGAAGTTTATATTTCTCTTGAAAAATGATCACAATGACCCCTTCTGTCTCTGATGGTCCTGGTTGTAATAATCACATGGGTCAGGACACTCAGATGATTAGTCGCTGAAAGATGCTCCAATATGGAAAGGCCTGCATGGGTCTTCAACAAGCTGCCCTTTATTTTCCATTAACAGTACGTTCCAGTGCTGCTGCACTCTTCGTATAGAGACCCGCTCCTGCTGGCAGGCTTCGTACGCCGCAGTGTCATACCTCGCTGCTGGAAATGAAAGGGCAAAGAAACAAAGTGACTGTAACCCCGGATAATCCCGTATAATTATTGGCCTGTCACATCAGCTGGTTGCTTTGTGAAGCAGGTGTTTCAGTCGCTCAATCCAGGATGAGATCGTCAGAGCGGTGCAGACATGTTGTGTAATTACACATCTATACACGTCTCATTGGAGAGTTTCCTCTCTTTTTTTCCTCTTCTACCCCCCAGAGTAAACAAAAAAAAAAGAAGAGGTCCTTTGTGGCTCGGCTCACTTTGCCAACATGTTTGACGGGAGCCTTTTCACGGCCGTGAAGGCTGATGACTTTACATGCAGGCTGCCGGCGCGCATACGTTCGGTCCAGCTGTGCTTTTGTTGTCTCTTTGTTCCTAACCTTGTGGCTCAGGGTGGAGCTGATTTACAGTACAATCTGTTATTATACAGAAATATTCACAAATTGATTTAACTTGTGTCAAGTTGTTATGGGATTTTGAATAACTGCAGTTGGCAGGTTTCAACTTAAAAAAAATGCCTGTAGGATCATAATTATTGTCAAAAGATAAACCCTATTCATTCTGCTGTCTAAGGCTGTTTTGACCTAGTTTTCTAAGTGATGTAATATATTAATAGAGACAATATTTACCAACTTGAAGACTCGAAGGAGTTAGTCTCTTTAGGTAACTGTCCAGACCACCCACAGACGTGTTTACTTTCCTTTATGACAGAGATGACACTGAGATGTTCAACCTTTTTAGGCGCATGAAATACTGTATTACCTTGAAATTGCCCAGTGAGTGCACATTTCATGGTAACTATGGTGAGGCTTAGCGCTTTTCTGTTTCATTTTCTTTGATACACACTCTTCCCGTCTGTCAGCACTGGATACGGGGAGTGCCTCCTGGATGAGCCCGTCGGCAGAACGTATGAGCTTCCCACACTCCTGCCCGGCCAGATATACAACGCCAACAAACAGTGCGAGCTGATGTTTGGGCCTGGCTCCCAAATTTGCCCCTATATGGTAAGTAGACATACTGTATGTAAAACAAATTTTAAAATTGATGCGGACGTCAGGAGGAGTAAAATGAAGCCCAGATTTTACATATCCTGGGCAGGTTTAAATTTAAGATATCTTCCGATGAACAGAGTTTCTGATGGGCAAAGAGGCAAGCATCTCTCAAAAAATAATTAAATAATGTAAAAAATTTTTTTTTTACATTTTAGTCAAAAATTCTTTAAAATTCAATTGGACTTTCTACCCCACGGCTAAGACAGAAGACGGGTTTATCTGGGTACTTACAGCAATTAATTTAATTCTAAAGCAACTGTGACTGTGGGAGTTTATTACGAGAAAGAAAACGGATATTTTTTAGAATTAATAAATGATAATAAATAATTTTGAGTAACCTTGCTCTTTTCAAATTTTGAAAAATGAGGATGCAGTTTTGTCTTCTTTGCTGTCTCCGCGTTTGAGCTTCATGGAGTCAAAACAGTCGAGTTATCAAACAAAAAAGCAACTGAAAAAAAAAACACACAGAAATCCAGAGAAACACAGAAAAATGTAAAGCAGTTGCACCTCTAAGTGCTACTGCACACTAAAGTCAAGCAGAAACCTAATACTGAAAACCAGAGTGACAACTAAATGAAGTCCCGTCGACCACAACACTCGCAAAACTCATCAGGTGCTTAAAGCACCAAGGTGAGATCTGCAAGTTTTAGAAATTTGTCACACCAGTAGAGATTTACCCCCACTTGTCAATCCAGGTTTTATTGACACAGTTAACCTTACTTTTTTTTTTAAATCACAGAAACAGTGCAAAAGGTTGTGGTGTACGAGTGCAGAGGGGGACCACAAAGGCTGTCGCACACAACACATGCCCCTGGCTGACGGGACTGAGTGCGGTCATGGAATGGTGAGTCATTCTGTATGTTTGATGCATAAATGTTTTAATAAATGCGCCGCAATGGACGGCCTACTGCACTACAATTCCTTAGTTGAAAGAGGTGGATGTGCAGTTATTTAAAAAAAAAGATATTCATGAATTATTTTCAACTTTTTCCTTCTATATCAATAAAAATCCTGTTAAGATAGGTTAAATTTAAAAAAAAAAATGTAAAAAGTTCAAGAGGTTTTAATATTTTAAAGTGGTCTCACATAGGTGAATTCAGGTCTCTTTCCTGTTTAGCACACTGATTGAAAAACATTTGTATCTCAGAATAAATGAAAACGCAGAACAATTCGATGCTGGAGAGCAAAGTTTCAAATGCTTTTCTTCGTTATTCATCCTGCAACTTTGCCGAAGAGAGCCATACTGCATTTCAAGCAAAATGCAGTGCTGACACACGCCCGAATTTCCTTGAAAAAATGTTTCAAACTCCTAACTACCTCTCCTGTTCTGTGTTTCTACCAACAAAATGGAATAATTTATCGTACATTACTCCACCGCCTGCATTCTGGTAGCAGGAACCGGTGTAAGGGAAGTCGGGTGATGATGAGAGTCAGAAACTTGAAGCTTTCCCATCCTGTGTTGTTAAAAGCCCCCCTGCTCGCCCTTAGCCCGCATGTTCTCCTCGCTCTGGGACCATATGCTAATCAGAGCCGAGGAGGTGGGTCACATGGATGGGAAAGCCAGAAGTAGAAGGGGGAGAGCTTCGGGTGAAAGAAAAAGAGAGAGAGAGAGAGAGAGAAATGAAAGACACTGATAGAGGGAGGATGGATTGTTTTAAAAGACTATACCACCCGCTGTTCACAATTGAGCCACCTTGTTTTGAACCTGTGACCTCTCTAAAAGGCAGGTGATTGGGTCAGTGGTCAGGCCGTAATGGAGACCAGGCGCCGTGGCAGCCAGTGGTTTCACGATGGACCTAACATCAGTGATTCTGCACATGGTGCACTGGTGTTAGCATTTGGAGCATGCATTGAGGTCAGAAGGAAAGGAAAGAAGAGGGAAGGACGCCTCTCGTCTCTTCTTAACCTTGTGGCCCTTACGAGTCTTGCGCTCTGAGCCCATGTTACATCTCACAGCCTTTCATCTCCTTCCTCGCCATGTTAGGGCCTGGATCTGCCTAGGCTACCGAGGAGGAGTTAACGGGGGATGGCTGACATCTTAATCCAACTGCAACAACCAGTCTAAACAGTAATGTGCCTGGACTGAATTCTCCGTTCTCATCTCATTCTGTATGTGGGAGAAACAGAGAGTTTAGTGAACCCAAGTGGTTTTCTTTATGAAGAAACAACCTCTCAACCTGTTCAGAGCTGACTGGGATTGATGTTCTCACTGATGAGTGATCTTCAGCTGTTGATTGGTTTCAGTTAAATGGGAAAACTTGTTTTGTTAAAGGGTAATGCACATCACAGAACTGCACTTTTTATTTCTCACATCTCGTCTTTTCGCCTTGGGCAACTGTTTGTTTCCTTGTCGGGTGAAATTATACTAAGACCTTACACTAATACTTTAAATAAAATGTCTTTGATCAAATGAAAACTAAACTGATCATCTTAGCTGGGTAAAGGAACAATGTTATTTTATGAGCAATGTCATTTACATTGACAAGGGGAGTTAGAAAAAGCCGGAACATATACTGGAAAAAAAATACATTTGATTTGTGGCAATCTTTGTTGTTCCACCCCCCCTTTATTCTTTTTATTTTTCCTTAACATTTTAAGTTGCATAATAAGCATATTATATATTTGGTTTTAATGGAGTTGTACAGAACTGTAAACAGAGCTATGATTATCTTACCTGCGTTTTTATAAGAACAAATAAATAAATAAAAACCTGTTTGATGTAAAAGCGAAAAAGGAAACAACTTTGAAGCAGGAAATGTTTTAAACAGTTCAAAATCTTTCACATCCATTTTTTTCCCCCCCTTCTACGTATTTATCTTCTCTTTGTGCGTGCGTCAGCTGTGGCACCACCTTTGTTTGCGGTGCTGAGGCCCCGGTTTCATCTTCATGCAGGGTGGTGTTTGAAGTCACGCGGGTTGAAAGAGACCCTACACCAACACTCACCTGTCCATACATGCGCTCTTTAATGTGGTGTTATTGTGTGAGGGGCTTGTGTGTCTGTGTGAGCGATTGTGCTCGTCCTGAGGCCTGCACACTCTGATAATCCAACACATTCAAACGGGTCATCCCGGTTCTTTTGTACCACTTTGTTCTGTACATCTGTCTGGACTATTGGTTTTTTCTTGCATTACTCTGCTGGCATTTTTTTCCTTCTTGACCTAGAAAAAGCATTAAGAGTTGTTTACATTTTAACCAGCTACAGCCACAAATTTCTGTGTATTTTATTGATGATCTATTTGATAGATGGAGACCAAAAGTAGTGCACAGTTGTGAAGTGGGAGGGAAATAATGCAAAGCTATCAGTAAAAGCTGGAAACGTTTACATGGAGTCCTCTTAAATCCAAATTGTCACTCTCAAAATGCTTGCATGCTCTGCCGTGAGACATCGATGTCCTCATGGTCACATTAAGGGGCTTTAATCTGACTGAGGTTTGTTAGAGAACATTGTTCAACAAGCAGCAACATGAACATGAATGTACAGACCAGACGGGTCAGGGATAAAGTTAAGAAGACATTTGAAGCGCAGTTAGGTTATAAAGTAATATTCCATGCTTTGTGCGTCTCACTGAGCACTCTTCAGGTCTTCATCTGAAACTAGAGAGCGTGTGGATCATTTCAAACTTTCTAAAAGTGGGCCTCCATCTAAAGATAATTAATTAAAGAAGCAGTAAAGATGCCCTTAGTGTCACTAGAACCTCTGCAAACACAGAAGTCAGAGTTAGGATGGAGGGTCTTTTGACAGGACAGCTATTAGGATAATGCAGTAGACTCTCTTAAAAAAAAAAAAAAGATTTTCAGGTTTGAGACTTTACATGTATGGGTCAGTTTGTTGGCTTCTAGGTGCGATAAATGGAGGATTATAACTTTGGCCTCTTTGGGGGTGGGAGGAGGGAGCTACAATAACACCGGAGATTGTCTCCCGACTCCCCAGATCCTCGTCCAAAATCATCTTTGTGGCCCATATTAGAACAATACAGTGGCGTCATTCAAAGCGATTACACACTATGTTATAAAAAGCAACACGTCTGAATGGACTTCACCTCCTGAGCCCTGGTCGCCTGGGGAGAGTGGTTTTGTCCCGACGGGTTATGAAACAAATTTGTGACCGCATTGGGTAATTGAGGTCAAAGCCCAAATAGAAGGACACAGGCACGTCCTCTAAATGACAGAGGGCTGAAAAAGAAAGAAAAAAAAGAGTTTGTTTGTACACTGCTTGGTTACAAAGGGGCATCAGGCACAGTAAGAGTTCAGTTGTAGTTTTCGCCCTTTTTCCTCCTCTTTCATCTCTGACGGTCTTTTCTTCTCCAGCCGTGCCTTCCTCCAGAACCTGCTCCCTTTCTGTTGCTTTCACAGGGCGCTGGAGTGTGTAATGCGGTCACATGACCTCTCGGCGGTGTGTCTGTGATCTTACTCAGTGGGCCACGCTCTAATGAGAGCATCCCATCACTTGTTGTCTATAAATACAGCCACCACCCCACAACCACCTCACCCCCGTCCTTTCTCATTTGTCCATTAACCCACTAGGCCTTCGCTTTTTTAGATGCTCTCGCTGCGAAGAGTGATTCTTCCTGCTTTTGTGTTTGTGTACAAATACATGCAGAAAAATACACTTATACTATAAATTGTAGGTGGTATGTACTTTGGATCAATTTGGCTTATTATATACAATAATATGTGCATATATATATATGTTTTCTTTTTCCATTTCATTTATCAACAGTTTAAGAGCACTTAGTAAACAAAATAACCCTTTGAACCTTTCTACATTTTGTCATGCTACTATATAGTGTTAGATTAATTATGACTGAATTATATAGCTATCAATTAATGAGTTAATATAAAGTTGATTTCTCTTGACTAATGGTTAATTGATAATCTGCTCTTCATCAATTAAATTGATAAATTAATTTGATAAATAGCAGATTATCTAGTTATTCTCTTGTTCTAAGAGGACTTTCCATAACATGAAGGTCAACATTTTTCATATGCTGAATTTAATAAAAAGAAGCATTTTTTTTTCTGTCAGCTGTGTTAAATACTGACTGGATAAACAGACGATTGTGTTTTTTTCTCACATCATTAAAGTTAGACAACCCTCAAAATCAGCTGTGCTTATTGGCATCATGTACTTTTGTATCATATTACATTATTTGGTGTCATGCCCTCCACTCTTCAGTCATCACTTCCTCGCCTTCGTAGCTCATCGATAATTTCTGAATCAGAAGTTCACGCTTGTTTGAATGATAGCTATTCAGCGTGAAACTTTACGACCTTTTCAAGTATTTACATTTCAATACAGAGCCGCGTAAAAATGCATCTTCTGGGCTCTGTTTGGACCGTTTCGCTTTCCTGTTCTGGGATTCCCAGCCATGTCCAATTCTGTATCAAGAGTTTGTGCTTCAGGATGACCATCGGCGCCCCCTTTAGCATGTTCGTCATTAATCAATTGGTACTAATTCCATCAATAAGCCATTATTTGACAATTAATTGTGCTCTGCTGATGAGAATGTTGGCCAGAGATTCCTCTCAGCCCAGATGTGATGTGTTCTTGGTTCTTGGTGTAGCTTTGGCGTGTGCTCTTGTTAGAGACCTCGGAGTCGTGCGAATAGCATCGGTGTCACTTGCAGCTAATCTCTGGATATTTGCAGGATGTTGCTGCTTTGATTCGCCGTCATCACAGACATATCTGTGGATTTGGCCTAACAAGAAGATTGTTGTTTTAGCCGCCGCTGAGTTTGCTGATGGCATTATTGTGTCCGGTAGTCGCTGAGAGCAGCTTTCATGGCCGGCTGTGTGGAAGCGGAGACATGGCTTTGTATGATTACAGTATAATGTGTTACAGTT